TATAATAATAAATTCGAAAAATGTGAATTTGTTACATATTATTTTCGTGACCTTTTTGTTAATTGAAATTTCTCGTCCTTACCACGCTTCTACTTAGTTTAAACTGTTGTATGACATTCATTGCAATAATAGTAATATACTTCATTCATGCTAACTTTAACGGATTCATCACATTCATCTTCCGGATCTTCTATATTCATATCCTCATTAACAGGAAGCCCTTCCCGTTCAAATACTACTTTATAACGAAGAAAATCACGTATAATGATTATTGGCATATCAGATTTTGTTTAAAAGAAAGCGAGAAAAGAATGGATTTAACAATTTTATTTATGTAAAACAGAATATAACAATACATATAAAGACATTTACATATGAAAAAAAAAACCGGGTGATCGTGTCATTTTTAAAATTTTATGTCACGAGAATCTAAAAAATTTACTTTTCCTGGCCTTGCTTGCTGTTTCACTTTTCACTGTAAATTAATGCGACATAAGGTTTTTATAAATAATCATTTTTTTGGACGTAAATATTGGCGGCTATTATTATTAATTATTTTTTTTTTAATAAAACTATCGTTTTTGGATTGACGCAGCTTGAAGCGATTAAAAAATGAAATTAAAATAAAAATCACTACATTTTACTTCCGAATGAGAAATTTAAAAAAGCAAAAATGGAGGGGGAAACCGTTTCGATCACATAAGCTCGAAGCAGTCAAAAAGAAATTTTTTAAAATAAAAAAATTACATATAATTCAAAATTGCCTAATTGAATAAAATGAACAAAGCAATGTTACGAATTGGTTTTTCGATTCCTTCAACGTGATAAATTTATTATTTGGCAATTTTACTTAATGGTCGGAACATGTATTGCTCTTCCGTGATTATGATTATCAAGATTGATAGCAATGCAATGTTTTATTCCCAATGAGACATTGTGGAGGTAAAAGTCATTATTTTTCTTCAACATCCAATTTTGGCAAAGCTTTGATTCAAGTTCTTTGGTTGAATTGTTATCACGTGAATGA